AGCTTATCCAGACTTCCGCTATATTTATGCCGAAATATTCTAGCCATTATCCGGAAGTTTTGGTGGGATGGAGAGGTGGATTCTAGAAATATTAATTGGTTGTGCTGGGATCAGGTTTTCCGGTCCAAGTTTGTCAGAGGACTGGGTTTTAGGGACATGGAATCCTTAGATAAAGTCCTCATCACAAAACGGAATGGATCGGAGTTTCCCAATGACATGATTAAGAGGGGTGCTCGGCGGTTTGGAAAAGCATCAAGTGAGAACGAGAGCTCCTGCAGTGTGTCAGGTGGCAGGTGGGTGACGGACGGTTAATCAGAATTTTTTCCGATCCATGGCTCCACAATCTGACTCTTTTAAGCCATATTCAAATGCCTCAGGTGAAGTCTCTACAGTATGCTTTATTCCCGGCAACAGGAGCTTGGCATGCTGAGAACAGTGAGAGGGTTTTTGCTCCAGTGGATAGTGCAGTGATAATGTCTAGTCCTCTTGGTAGGGGGCTCCACCCGAATAAATTTGTTTGGCATTATGAGGCAAACGGTGCTTATTCAGTTAAGAGTAGATATAGGTTGTTGACATGGTGCATTCTGCAAGATGAAAGCACCAATCTTGATTTGAATGACTGGTGGAAGTTGGCCTGGACAGCACTTGCACCCCAAAGGCTCTTATTTTTCTTTGGCGAGTTTTCTATGAAGCTCTTCCTTCATCGAACCTTTCTAAACATGGGGTGCGAATGGGTGGTGGGTGTGGACAGTGTGGCTTCGCTGGAGTCCACAGCACATATTCTTTTCTGGTTTGAATGTGCAAAAGGGGTCTCGAAAAGCTTGGGATGGTGGGATCAGATGAGAGGTTTCCGGGAAGGCGATAATCTGCGTGAAATTCTGTTGAGGGTGGCCAGGTGCTGCATGAAAAGAATAATAATAATAATAATAATAATAATAAAAAGCTAGTTGTGTTTAGATTCATCACTTGGGTTCTTTGGCGTGAACGCAATTGAGTAATTCCTGGATCACCAACTCTTGTAACCCGATTTTGGTTTGCTGGAATGGGTGCCAGCCTAGAAGTTTAAACAAAAGGCAGGTGAAAACCATACATCTGTTTTGCCTAAATGGCAACCACCATCTGTTGGGCCAAAAACTGAAATTGGATGTGGCCATTCGGCGGGAAGGTAGATTTATAAACTCAAGCACTATCGCTCGGGATGAGGCTTCAACTAGGTGGAGTGTAAGATTTCGAATACGAGTCAAATACCGACACTCCTCGAACATTCTACCATGATCATTTCTCTTTCTTTATAAAAAATATTAAATATTTTTAACTCAAAATTATTATTAAATAATAAATGGATACTCATATTTAAAAAATTTCAACAAGAAAAATTAGTAACAATCATAAACCTAAATTTGTACTATATAAATGAAGAATTTTAAATGTTTTAATCAGCGTGTCGATTAGGGCAATCTTGTTTAATGAAATGTTGGTATTTCACCAAAAATAAGTGTTCTTTGTTCAAGTGATAAACCCCTTGGACAATTTTATCCTTCTTGTCACAAAAACGCATGAAAGAGAGGGAGAGAGAGGGAAGCATGATGGGCACCCGCAAGTTCTTGCCATAGTTTAATTGTTAGTGTGTCAAGGAATTAGAAGTGTTTAGGGTAGATTACATAATAAGTGAGTCACCAACTCACTTCAAATAGGGGGAGGGTGTTCTATTTTCATTGGGGCAGAAAGTAGAGGTCATAGGAGAGAGTTAGGCCTCTCGAAAGCTTAACACTACTATGTTTCCATTTCGTGTTTTCTGTGGATTTTATACAATACAAAAATAACAATTCCATGCCATGCAATATTACAACTAGGTTCATATAGATCTATTACCAATCCACTTCACCGCAATTTTACAAATCAGAATCCTATCAGATTATACTGCAGAAAAAAGAGCTGGTGATCATAGACTTTTATCACTTCATATCTTCGAAAACTAGGCTACAGGAAATTTGAAAATAAAGGGAGCCAAAGAGGGGGTATGAGATTCTTCAAAAGCAAAATGGTATTATCACCTCAATCACAATTTTGAAGTGTATATGAAAAGGGAAATAATCATATAAGTTATAGATCGTAAATACACGAGTATATTTTGGCCAGCACCAGTAGTTTATCCAAAAACCTTAAACATATAAGGGGTTTAGAGCGAGGAAGGAACAAAAACTAGGAAAAACTACACAACATATACCATGATAACAAAGTCACTAGACATAAGTTCTTTATCGCTCCCTTTCTCTCAACTCCTTAATTATCCAAGATTTATTTTGTGGACCTGTACTAATTCGAACTAAAAGAAATATCCAGTTTCAGTATACCTCTTCATCTCGCTATTTTACTCTCAAATTATCCTGC